TGTGCTTTGAAAGTCTTTTATGAGAATATCATCATACAGACAAATAGTTTCAGTTCTGGAAGAGATAAGTCATCATTTACACACCGACACCCACCCACACCCCCATCTCCAGTCAGTCATGGTAATTGATAGAAAGACTCAACAATCTATTCTGACAAATGAAAAGCCTAGGACATATTGCAATACCATAAATATGTTCGAGTCCTGTTCAGAAAAGATCAAAGAAATCCTTGGAAAAGGCAGAGCTCACTGGGTTGGTTTTGGTTGGTTTTTTTTTTTGTTTGGGTTTGGTTTTCTTTTTGTGGTTTGTAAAGGCTTTATTTTTTTATTATGATTTTTTTAAAGGTGTGAGCGTATACCGCAGAGCTCTTCTGGCTGCATTACATCTTTCCATGTGCAACTGATTTCAAAGTCATGATGAGGATGTCCTAAACCATAAAAAGATTAGGAAGCAGCTAAAGAATAAGTAGCAATGTTTGCAGTCCAAAATGGTGAGGCAGAGTCATGCGTGTATGTGGCCATGGACTTGGCAAAATGCAGGACATTTGTTCAGAATCTGTAGTAAAGGGAGAGGGACCCAAATGAAAGTGGTTGTTTTTTTGTGGTTTTTTTTTGTTGTTGTTGTTGTTTTGTTGGTTTTTGTTGTTGTTGTTGTTTATGGCATTGATCACCTAAACACTTCTGTATTTAAAAACAAATTTAAAAAAAATTTCCAGTGTGTATTTGGTGAATAGTAATGTAGATAGCACAAAGGTTTTGGCATGAAGTAAACTTAAAAAGCTTTTGTGCTTGTTTAGCTCTGTGAGCTATTTCCAGTTTACTTGGGTCTTGCTGCATGAAAAAGTCTTGTGTGCTGCCACTGCTGATTAGTATAATTCACTATTTTAATTCAGAGGGACATACACAGAACATACAAGTGTACGGACAATCAGATGTTGACAACCTGATGTGATTTGAACATGATAAATAATAACTCTGCAGGGCCTGGCTTGTTTGTAGATGTAAAAACCAAACCAACAAACAACCTCCCCACTGCCCCCCAACCCTCACCTCCTCTGAAATGAAAACAAACTTCTCCACTTAATGTGCATGTCAGTATTCTCTAGCAGCTCCTCTTTTCCTTTAGCTTTCTTCCTTGCAAACCTGTGAACCAAATGATGGACTGGATGAGCTTCAGTTTTTATTATCAAAATTTTCTGTTGCAAGGAGTTAGCTTTTTTTTTTTTTTTTCCTTACTGGCTGTTTTACTGAAATTGGATGTTGGGTAGATGAGTCTACAATTCTGGAAAGCCACTGTTTCTCGAATACCTGAGGCTTTGTCTCTTAGCTGTGATGTAGTGCATGAGTGACAAAATCTAAAAAGGGAATACTCATTCATCTTGGTTGTTTATTAAAAAAAGTAAGTTTATTGAATATAATCAAACATAGCTATTGTTTTGTTATTGCCCTGGAAATAGGAGAGACGTGGTGTGAACATGGAAAAATTCCTCTGAACACACATAACATTTTTGCTTAATTGGGGTTAGAGGTTGGTAGTCTTCCTAAAATACAGGCCCTTGGCAGACTTTAGTTTCAAAATTCGGTGAAGATAGATATTTTCAGAGGGGAGAAGGAAAATAGCAAGAATGTTTGCCATCATGTGCTGTACTCATGTAGGCTTCCTGTGTATCCCAAGAGAACTTCTCAGATTTTTCTGCTCTCAAATCTAAACAACATAATCCCTCAAATCTCCAGAGAGATTGCTGAGGAAGACAGTAAGGCTTCTTGTGGTTTACAGTGTCCTTGTAGTCTAAATAGCTGAAGGAGACTCCAGTCAGTTATTTCTTTAGTGTGTCCTGAGCTCTTGGTGAAAACAAAATGGTTGAATTTCTCTTTTTGAAATAAAATGTTGAGCAGTCTCTCGCTCCATTCAATAAGCAACATAGGTATTTCTATCTGCCAGCTGCTGCTTTAGAGAGAGGTGGTAAATGTACAGGATGTATATTGTGTTCAGAGGAACACACTTGTGGTCAGTTTGGCAGTCTTCCCCTGATTCTGTGTTGTGTTGAGTCAACTGAAGTATTTATATCCATTTTTAGCATCACTTTTGATAAATCACAAATGTAGATGCCTTGGTTTGACAACTGAGTGTCTTAAATTTGGATGTGCTAAATCTTCTCTGAGTTGAGGAGTGGGTGCATTTTGGAGGTTATTTCTTTGGGATCATGTAGGACTGCGTTAAAAATTTCTTCTGGGGTTCTCTGTCTCCGTTTTGTAGCTTTCAGGTATGAATGTCACAATTTATTAAAGTCTCTACTTGTTATGGAATAGAGTGACTGATTAATAGCTGAATCTGAAACCTATTAGACTACAGATTTTGCTATATTGTGTACCATCAAAGTATAGGATTGCCTTAAAATTAGTTTACAATTTACTGAAATAATAGAAATTGTCTATCTGAAGAGACAAAAAAAGTCACTGTCTTACAGTGCAGCCTTAATTATTTGTCATAAAAGGCTTAATGGAAGCTTAAATAAAATAATAGAAGTTTAAATAAATGGCAGTGTAATAAATGATATAATGCTACTGAATTCTAATTGTGGTCCAGATGAGTAAGTGTTCTTTGTAGACTGTCGGATGCAGGTGTTTTCCTGTTGATGACAGCAATCACTCCTAATGGTTATAGTGCTGAAATCAAATGTAACTCTGCAAAATGAAAAGCAAATTTTTTGTTTCATTCATTTCTGTTCAGCTATCACTTCCTTCTATAACCTGAAATTGCAGGAAGAAAAAGAGTGTGAAAATTTAGTGTGTCTGCTGTTAAAGTTGCAGGAAGTTGGTAGAAATAACATGACCAAAAAGATCGTTATAATTCATACTGAGCCTTCAAATACTAGTTTCAGGGCTTGAAGGAAATGGTGAGAAGAGTTTCTGGGTGAGATAGTGGACAGCATTAGAGATGATTATGTTTAAACTCCATTTTCTCTGGGAATGCTGAGGATCTTAGCCCAGCTAGTAGTTAGGAGAAAATGAGAGAGTGGTTGACTTATGCTAGTAGCATCAGGTGGCTTTCTGGTGAAGAACCATTAAAAAACTATTCATAAATTCATTAGCTGAACTGTCTGGCTGCGCTGTATTTTTCTTTCTCTTCTGTTAGGCTGAGGTAGGTGTAGTGCATGCATTTGACGATGTAGTCTTGTCACAGCCATCTTCCCAGGATGGACTAGGCATACCAATTACACTTCATGGCTGAGCATCGGACTGTGTAGTCTCCTACTATTTCTTCCATTCGTGTCTTTCTAGAACTGTCTTATCATTAAATGACAATTTTCTGAAATCTAAATTTTCACACTTCATGAGGCAATAGTGTGGTAGATACATGCTCCACTTTTTATTTTAGCTCAGAGTGCCTCCTGTTTTAAAAAATCGATCTGAGGAGGAGTTACTCCAGTGGGTGTCACTGGAGTCCTCCTAGTGCAGCTGTTTGTGAAAGGCACTGTTTTGCAGGGACCCTTAGCATGTATGGGGCAATTCGTCTTGACATTGCAGGCATTTATCCATTTGTTTTTTCTGCTTTGCATTATGATTGTATCTTACTGTTGTGAAAGTCAACAAGGTCTTCAGTAGTTTCTCAAAATAAAATACCAAATACCCCAAACACCCAAAACTACTGTAAAAGATTTTGTCTTTTTATTTGCTTAATTTATAACTTTTTTATGATTTCAAACTTTTCCCAATATGAGGGCTGCAAAACTCTTTCATGTGGCACCTCAGATTTGCTATGATTATTCTTCTGTTGCCAGGAGTTGGGACTTCTAATATATTGAGAGATAGTGATACTAACTGGTTTTTCAAGTAATCCTTTTCTGCAGCTGATGGCCTGTGAGTTGTGCTTCTAAAGGGATTCATACATTACAACCTCAAAGGAAGACTGTCTGAAAGAGGCAGTTAGTTAGTTACACATGGTGGTTTGTATGACATAGCTGACACCTTGTGTCTTTGGAAATCTGTTGAAATAGGGGTTTTTTTTCTGCATGTAATGTACCCAAAAATGAGCAGTGGAGTATTTAGTGGACTTCTAAAGAAGCTGTGTGGAGCAGGTAGTGTGATGGGTGAGTATGTGGCTATCTAGAAAACTTTCTAAGGAAAGCTGCTGGCATCATGTCTGCCTGATGCCATGGGATTTTGTCATATGGGTTCATTATATTGGTGTGTTGGAAAATGTCAAGTCTTTTATTCTGCCTGAAAATTCTCTAATACCACTTCAGTAATGTAATAGTTAATGCAGAAAAGAGTCAGAAGGTTTTGGCAGTCCCTGCTTATGTGTTTCTATGCTGAATTTTGTGTGGCTCAAACATGTAGCAGTAGAAGGCTCGGAGGCTTTCTGCTGAAGTTGGGTATAAAGACCACAAAGATGAGAAGTAAAAATGGAAGAGCACCAAATGCAAATTATAAGATTGTCGTGTTTATGCGTTTCCTAGTACTGGAAGATAATAAATAACTCACTATTAGACAGTTTAATACAATGAAAAGAGTAGTGAGACTACAAGTGGAAGCATCTTACACAAATCCTTTGTCTGAATTTATTCATGTGTTTCTAGTTCTTCACAAACTAAAACACAGAACCGCTCTTCTACATTGAGTGACAGCCATTCTGCATTGCCAGAGCTGCCCTTTATTTTCTTAAGAAGTGAGTGTTCTGAAAAGGTCTTAAAGATGTGACTGGAATGTAGCTTATATAATGTGGAATAGAACACAGCTATAGAGTTCTTGTTATTGATGGCAGTGAGTCAAGTGAATCTTGACCTGTAAGGATTTTATTTCTTTTTAAAGAAACATTTTCTTTAAGTGCCCACTCGCACAATCTGCTGTAAGTATGTGTTGAAATATTTCTTGTTGCTTATTTCCTGAGCTATGTCAGTAAGTTATGAAATTCAGAACTTCCTTTTATATATAATGAGTTGATAATGTTCATTCTATGCCCAGTTTAAGGACTGTCTCCTAGATGGGTAGAGTTACTTGCATGAAAACATTGGAATGTAAGGATTTCTGCTCACGGTAATGACGTTCCTATATAAGGCATGGGTAGCTGTAAGTAAACCTCTTTTTGCCTGTTTTTTTAATAGTTTACTGGTTTTGAAGTAAATTTGTGACCTGTGGGCGAGTCTCAGGAATATTTGAAAATAAAGATACACATAGTTTTCTCATCCTGGCCTGTAGCTGATATACTTAAGATATCTTTTAAAGAATTAGAAGACAGCAGGAGTCAAGTAAGTTCTCCAGTAGCCTGTGATCAAACTTGTCTGTGCAGGAGTGCATTCTGTCGTCTAGATCTAGTTTTTCTGCTAATATCAAATAGAAAGTATGTTTCTTGCCGTCATTGAGGAAGGAGAAGTCATCTGTCAGCATCCAAGGGCAGTTGCACTGAACTGAATTCTCATCGCTAGGATGAGCAGCAGCGGAAGCAGAACGCGAGTGTGTTGATCCAAGGCAGCTATCCCCGCAATGAGAAGCTGAATCTTGTGACCTTCCTCACAGCACACGATGGATTTGTGTTCAAATTTGAACTTATTTTCTGACACTTTCCTAACCTTTCCTTCCTATTTTTCTGTCACATGCAGTCTGAGAATAGTGATGATCTTTGAGACTATGGATGGGAGGGAAGTGGTGCATGTCACTACAGCCCACCCACATCATTAGCTAGCAGTGCATCGCCAAATGTTCTGTTTTCTTGAAAGTAAAGTTTAGATAGTACTTATATCTACTAGAGTGCCTGTATTCTAGCTGTTTAAAATGTAAGTACAGGCAGACTGGATGGAGAGTATTTCGTTGTAGTGTATATATACACTATATATATATGTTTGCACTATATTGTATTAGTTGAGGGACATAGAAATGCAGTTAAATATTCACCCCTGTTTTTACTGTGTGATTTTTGACTCCATGAGCTCACCAGTGCTATAGCAAAGGCAATCAAAATTTCAAAAGTGTTTCCAAAGGTTTTTTTGGTGAGCAAGATCAGTTTATTAGTTCCACTTTGTACGTATATATGTCAGTCAGTCATTTCTCAGAATGTGTAGGAGTCTTTCTTTGTAGGTATGTCTTGATTTATGTTGTTTAATTTTTTCCTTATCCTTAGGTGTAGTAAGTACTTCTGCAGTTAAAGACAAACTATGAAAAGTCTAGATCTCTCAAGGTGTTGGAGTGACCCCATGTGCTAATATCCTTCCCCCGCCCCTTGTAGCAAAAGAATAAAATCCTTGAAAGCTATGGCTCCCTCTTTGTTGTGTTGTATGATAATAATAATAAAAGCCTCCATGATATTCTTACTGCAAATGAAATGCTGTACAGTAATAGGCTATCCTGGGCCTATTACTTATATTGCAAATAATCTGAAAAAGAGAGAACCTGTGGTTTTGTGCTGTATGCCTCTAATGCCATATATCTGTCATGGGTCCACCTGAAGTCCCAACTGTGACCAAGACCCCGTTCTAAATAGTCTCTGCCAAAGCCTTCATTTTTTTGCAGCTGTGAAACTGGCTGCTCATCCTTGTGGGAGGAGGTAGACTACAAAGAGAACTTTTGAGCCATTTAAATATATACAAAATAAAACCAGGAATATTTGGGGTGACTCAAAGAAACACACAGTTACTGTCGCCTAAGTGGTACTATAAATTTGCATCTTAAAAAAGCTAACTCACTTGTGCGAGCTGGCATGGGAGGTAGGTGGAATTTTTAGCTTTTGTTGGTGTGACCTTCACAGCTGCCATTAAATCCTGCAATACTGTTTTTCCTTCCTCTTGGCAGTGCTGTCAGCTGTGGGCATGGATGGGGCATCCTCCATGATTGCCTGATCAAATACCCAAGCCTGGTTTCTTTAGGCAGTTTACTGCTGGCTGATCTGTTGACCTGCTGAAAGAGCTTCAGGCTAGGGAAAAGCAAGGTGTTTTATAAAAGTGATCTGTTATTCGGTCAGAAAGCTGTTACAGGTTGCTCAGAAAAGTGTTTGTGTTGGTGGTGTTGTCTAGAGACACAGGTGTTTCTAGATCTTAGAAATCTGTGGCAAAGTGGTGCCTGCTGAGTTTGGAGAGGAATTTCAATCGAATCAATGTGAATTATGTGAGTGGGTCTGCTAACTGTGTTTTAAGAGTTTTTCTGGGTTCTTTGCCACTAATAGGTTAGCCACCTGCAGTGGGCTAAAGCACAAGGATGCTGATGTACTATTTAGTACAGCTCAAATACCACAGCTCCTGCTGTACCTCAGATCACCTCTATGAAGCATAAATTAAAGTTCTGGAGTGATAACAACTTTTTTTATTCCCAAGTTTAATTGATGAAATACGAGAACTTCCTGTATCTGCATGAAGGAGACTAGCACACTGAACACCTATAACATCTTTAATTATTTTATGGTAGCATGGTTTCTTTACGTTTCCTTACTCTCCTACTGTTCGTGGTTTTTACTTAAGGATACTTTATAGCGAAGAGAACCTATAGGCCATTCTTCTTCCAGACACACCATTTCTGTCTTTGTTTACAAGTTCTGGTGGGAGTTGTCCAAACCAGAGTATAGAAGAGCAGTCCTGCGGTTCCCATCCAGACTTCTCAGAAACTGTTAGTAAAGCCTAAAGAGAAAGGGAAGCCCTGTGGCCACAATTCCTACCCATGTGCTACACTCTGATGCCTATTCTGCTTTCATTGGGATCTTAACTGGTAAATAAAGAGCAGAGGGCAGAGCCCCTGGGGTTAGGCTCTCCCTCAGAGATGGTTTTACTCTTGCATTGCTCAGAACCACGTCCAAAGAGCTGTCTGCAATCTCTCTTTAAGCCTTGCATGTCTGAGCTTTGGCTGGTTCAGCTGTCAGACGCTGAATGTCAAACCTAGGAGGCTGCTGCTTTTCCATGGAAACGCTCTGTGAAATTGCAGAAATAATCAGACATGTCTGGTGGTTGCTGTGCCTTATTGTTGGATGCTTCCAGACACTGAACTGAATTGTCCTACCTTGACAAACTGAGTTTTCAGCTAAAATCCAGCTCTGCTTTTGTCATCCCTCTTACTTTTTTATTGAATGCAAATGGATTGAAAGGCATTAGTGACACAGTTTATTCTGCTGTTGGAATGTAAGCCCGTTGATGTTGGCTTTCCCTTTCTCTCTGTTCATGCACATCTTGCAAAAGCAGCTCCAGACCTCTTGCTTCTGGATAGGTACCATCAATATGAGCTGTCTCATGCCTTGTACGTGCAAGGCCTGAGCTGCAGTATCCTCTTCAGGGAGGCTGTGCTATCATACATTCTCCTTAACAACTCTTCTGTGCACTACATTTTACTATTGACATACGAATATTCAATGTTTACAAAAAATCCTATTAACTAACTGTTTATTTGTGATCATCAATTTCCAAGAGGATTGTCCTTACTAGAGAAAGGAGTTCTAATCTAGGGTCTTTGGCTTGATGGATTATTCATTTTTAAATTGCTTTTTACATAATTTACTTTCCATAATACTTTAAAATTATATTAATCAATGTGCCTGACTAACTCTAGATGTGCTTTGTTGTTGGCTTTAAAGAAAAAACAATGTCCTTTTCTACAGGCATTACTAACTTGGAGGCACTACTAGTACAGCTCAGTGGGAGAGGTGCCGTAAAGTATTTGGAAACTAAAGTAATTCCAGTTTATGGAATAAGTGTTTCAGTGTATTGGGCTGGTGCTGTTCCTGATCTGAAAATAACTATCTTTGGAGACATAACAGCAGAAGTTTTATTTTTTCTACTTCTATAAGGAATTTAATTTCATAACTTGAAAGTTGTTCTGGAGGACTGCCTATGAAGGAAGGATAACTTTCAGGCTTGTACACCAAATAGGTCACTAAGATGGCCTAGTACGAGCTCTGTCCATGTTTCTTTGTTGTCCTTTAATGATAGTTGCCAAAAATAAACATCCACAGAAATAGCTGTTGTAATATTGGAAGAACGATTGCTGCAATGGATGGCGACAGTCCGTGTCACTGAACTGGTGAGAAGCAGATAGCTCATCTCCCTTCTGTGAATCCCACTTTTGTAAGCAGTAACAGTTTGGAAGGGAAAGGTTTATCACTCAAAACATTGACATTACTTAATCAAACAGTGGCTGTAAGAACAAGAGCAAAACAGTTGCTGCCCTTTCTCCCACGCCCAGCACGCACAAGCTCCCAGGCTACATGGGCACCCTGTGAAAGAAGAAGAAACTCCATAGTCTTATTTCTGTTACACTGAGGAAGCATGTGCCGATGCAAAACCGTGGGATCTGAAAACATTTGGGAAGCAAGGGGAGTGCAGCTCTCCAGGCATGAGGTCTCCATTTGCTTTATAACTGCAGAGGTGCTGCTGAGGAAGCATTTGCTGCCTGCAGGGCTTAATTCATTGCTTTCCTTCTGCAAAGTACCATGTTTTTTTAATTTAGGAAAACAGCCAATTGAGGTAAGACTGGAAGAACATCTCTGGCGTACAAAGGGATCTTAAAGGACCAGTGTGGAAGCCTTAGCCCTTCTGTGCTTATCACGATATGTTAATTCTTGGGATTCTGGACAAGAGGAAATTTTACACATTTCAGCCCTTACCATTGCTTACAGAATATTTTTTTATACTCTTAAAAATGTAGACTTCCTGTTTCCCTTGAAGTGAACTTCCTCAATAGCAGATGGTATCAAGTTAAAAGAAATACATACATATTATGTTGAAGTTGCTTTCTTTTTAGAAACAAAGATGATACTATAATAGGCAGATCAATGGTCTATTGTATTGCTTTGTTTCTGGCAGTAACATACAGTTGGTACAAAGGTTGTTTTACTAGAACTCTAAAAACAGGTATGAGGAATGGGCAAAAGTTCAAAACTGTGCATGTGTGAGGCACGTGTGTCGTTTACTTAGATGCTGTGGTTGGCTTTATAAATAAAGCTTTCAAATCTTATGCAGAGAATGGAGACTAACTTCTGGCAATATGCCTTATTCTAAACCCACGTAACTTGTTCTGGATGAACAGATTTTAAGCGGTCATCACAAAAAAAACCCCAACATATCCAATTTGAAAAGCATACATTTCTAAAGCCTAGT